CAAATTAACAACACAAAGTCACAAATTGAAACTATAAAATGTGGTCTTCCTCAAGGCTCAGTTCTAGGACCTAAATTATTTATACTTTTATTTAAATTATAGTTTTACAGTATACAGTATTTTGAACTTTATATTGTTTGCTGCTGATACAAACATATAAATAGTAGAAAAAGTGTTGGCTGAGTTTAAAATAAAGTGGTTTGATTCAAATAAGCTATCTTTAAATGAAAAAAAAAGCTAAATTGATGGTATTTTCTGATAATCAGATTTACAATAAGTTACATATAAATGGAGTTGAAATTGACTAAGTTTATGAGACAAATTGTTTAGATATCATTCTGGACAAAAAACTTGGTTGGAAGCCTCATATTGAATATATTAGAAACAAAATTGCAAAAACTATTGGAATATTATTTAAAATAAAGATTTAATAAATGTAAAAAGCTTGCATATTATATACTCTTCCTTGGTTATGCCCTCTTTGTCATATTGCTCAGAAATACAGGGAAATGCAAATAAAACAACAATTGACATGTTAGTAAAGTTACAAAAAAAAGCAATTAGTCTTATTAATAATGTGGGATATTATGAACCAACTAATAAACTTTTTATACAAAGTAATACTTTAAAATTTATTGACATTGTTTATATAAAAATACTGGAAATAATCGTATAAAGCACTGAATAAAAGTCTTCCTTCTGGAATTCAGAACGTATTTAAGTTAAGAGAGAGAAAATATAATTTACAAGGTTTGTTAATATTTGAACAAGCTAAAGAGAAAAGTAAAGAAAAATCTAGATGTATTTCAGTTATTGATGTGAAACTGGAATTAATCGAATGATGATCTCAAATTACTGGTATGTGCTTTTTAACAGAACCTTAAAATGGAAAATTATAAAAGCTTAAGTAAATGCATGTAATGTGTAACCATGTATAAATAAGTATGTGTATGTATGTATATGCATGCATATTTAAATATACGGTAAATGTACGCATATGGACAATAGATATTCATTATATAGACTGTAGAGTCGGTGAATAGTGTAGGCAAGTATAAGCCCTGGCTTCAGCCTATTTACTTTTTTGTTAAATGATTGATTTACTATTTTATATTGTTTTCCTTTTTTGTAATTTTTTTTAATTTACTAAAATAAAGTTGAGTTTACAATAACAAATATTATAACTTTCCTTTATGGGACAAACAAACTTTATGTGTCGACTTGCTGCGTCGGCTTCAGATCTTCCATAAACAAACTGAAACCAACTCCTCATTAGTTCAACATCTGGACATCAGGTTGGATCTTCTCTCCAAAGTCTCCATCTGCCACACATCACGTTTATCTTTATGCAACATCTGCTCTCAGTAATCTCATCTGCTCGTGTCCTTGTTGAAGGAGAGCGACATCTCGATTCCAAGAATGTCTTCCTCTTTTTATTGAAGGTGCGTCTGGGAAAACAAGATCAATGAGCAGCGAGTTAAATGCAGTAAAGGGAAACGGTTTGATTCCAAATCTTCGAAGCATCATGCCCAGTTTACCCCTGGAGTCCTTACTGGTTTTAATTTATTTATTTCCTCATATTTGAACTTGATTAACAGAAGCTGCTTGGAAGAATTCTTGTAGAGTAAATGTCTTTAACGTGGTGGTTGAGATGCAACGAGTATAAAAAAACTTTTTGTTGACTGCAAAAATATCAAAGGACGTCCTAAATATAGCTCGTGGCCACGAATGGATCAGTGTTGGTTTGTTTCCATCGTGCTCAAACCCTCTCCCCGACGATCCCCTCGGCTCCTCTAAAGCCCTGAATAAATGGATTGACTTTTGGACAAGAGACAGTTTTGTTTCATAAATGTTAATTATCATAAGTGCTCTTAGAGGCACTTTCTGTGAATGGAGACTGGACTCTTCCTCTTCCACCACCCGCTCTTCTTTTTTATGAGATTGGTCTTCGTTCCCAAGGACATCAAAGAGGTCGCCAACGATGGAAGGAGGAGACAAAGGATGGATGGAGCACTTGCGTCATTTTCTGCTCTGGCTATGGACCCTATTTGGGCTTCTTCTTCTCTCAGCTTCCCTCCATCCTCGCTGTCTGACTGCCAGCAACCCCACCCATCCTCTTGTGGCTCCTCCCCGGGTCCAAAACCAGCGAGACAGATCAGCACTTAAAGGAAATAAGCAGAGAGGAGAGTTATTTTAAGATGATGTCTTTCACTGTGGACAAAAAAGGGGGACAAAGATGCAAGCCAAGCGATTGTAATGTCAGTCACGTTTTCTGACATGTTGTCTGCCGTCCAGTTAGCTGAAAGGCCCGACGGAGGAGAGGGAGCTCAGAGCAGCAAATACCTCTGAAGCCTTTCTTTAGAAGAAAAACCGTGTTCACAATCAAATCTAACGTCACATCTTTAGGCTGAAATAAAAATGCTGACATGATAAGGAACAGCTTGTTCATGGACTGTTCAAAAGAGCGGTAAAAAAATTAAACAACTAAAAAAAACAACCTGGAAAATATCCTGATGCATGCTCAATAATCCAGGTAGAAAAATCTCTGGACCAGATTGAACTTTTTTGGAACTGGAAAATAGATCCGCATCACTTAGATGTGAAAAAGTTTGTTGTTCTACGAGCATGTGCACATTTTGAATATTTGCATGACCCTAAACACCAAAAATTCCATATATATGCATTAAAATACACACTAGCCAGGCTTGCTATTTGTACTAAATATGGATAATAACATACTGCGTATTTTGGACAAACAGCATCTATAATGTTAGCTCTAGTTTTTGTATATTGTAAGTGGTTGTAAACTTTTGCACATAGACGGTGCTGGTAATGACAAAACTCGATAATGTCTGTTACTTTAATTAAAGCATGTGAAGCGCTGATAAAATCTGCTCTATTCGTTCCTTCATTTGTAATTTTTTTTATGCATGTGGACATGCATGTCTGCTTGCAGTCGCCATAGTGCTGCAGCACCCTCCACACCCATGCTTCCGTCATTTTTCCCAATAAATGTTAGAGGAAAATAATTTTTATATTTGTCTTTCTGTTCCTATTTATTGTATTTTACAGGCTTAGCAACAATGAATATGGATCCGTGGTGAAATGTCTTTTTCTTTCTTTTTTACCCTTATGTTTTAGGAACTTATTGAGAACATTTTGTGGTAAAAGCAACAAAATAAAACCCATTAAATCAAAGTTCTCTTGAAGCTTTGGCATTAAAATCCAAAGAAGAAAATGAAAATACTAAAAGATGCAAAGAAATCACAACAATCTAAAACATAATTTCTAGCATTGAATAAACCCATTTACAAAAACAGTATATTTCATAATTCTTCCGTTTTTTTATTATTTGATGTTTTAATGACATTAAAAATAAATAAACATTTAGATATATTTTTTTCCTATCTGATATATTTTTACCAGCATTATTTCACAATATTTAAATTCTTTATATTGTAATATTTTATTTTATACAAATATACATATCACAATTTTTTTCTTCTTCTTTCGGCTGCTCCCTTCTTCAGGAGTCACCACAGCGAACTATCTGCCATCTAGGGTGCCCGGGGGAGTAGATGGAGGGGGTTAAGTGCCTTGCTCAAGGGCCCAGAGTGGGGCAAATGAGGGTGGAGGCAGGTGTAGGTGGTTCACCATTCCCTCCCTCCCTTATTTTGATGTTGTTGGTTCAGGGAGTTGAACCAGCGACCCCCCAATCACAGGTTCGCCTTCTCTAACCTCAGCACCACCACTCCCATATACACACACATAATCACAAATAAATAATCTATATAATATTTTTAGTGCTGCTGAAAACAAGTGACTGGAAAAAACAAAAAAAAAAGGTTAAATCATGTCATCTGGACCAGTTTCTTTAAGTGAGAAACGTTTTGTCTCCCATCCAGAGGACTTCATCAGTCTGCAGCCTGCCAAACAGATCTGTCACATAGATATCCTTCAAGCCAAGCAGGTTTTTAACACGTGCCAACAGGGCCCACCCGTCCAAAACAATCAATCATTGTGTATTGATGGTAAGTGAGTGGAAAGATTTCAGTCAGTCTCCAACACTGACACTTTGCAAAAGCATAAAGAAAAATGAAGCTGAAGAAGAACTGGATCTTAGACTTTACATTCATAATAAAGTTGGACCAGAATCTGATCAGAACCATCCAAATAAAAAAATCTTCACGAGCATTGTTTAAGGCAGTTGAAAAAAATAAAATAAAATAATAAGCCACGTTTTCTTTTTTTTTTTAAAGTTTCTACACTTGACATTGATAAGAATTTGCACTAAACTTCGTCAACATGATCCAATTATAGAATTGTCTATAATTTCGGTCTTTGTATATTTAATGGTAATAAACTAAAAACAAAAAATATGCATACTTTCCTGCAATGATATTTTTCAGTAAATGGTTTGATTTGACAGATTAAACATGTTTTATTTTTTGCTGATTTGTTCTTGACACAAGCAGAAGAAATGCACGTGTTTATAGTGTGAACATGAATTATTGCTTTTTTTTGTGATTGCTTCCCTTTTGATTAATGGTTGTGCTGGCACTTCTCATAAATGATTTGTCACATATTGTTTACATCTTTCTTTACGTATATTACCGGTAATCAGAATCTTTTGCAAGAACTCATTTGAGCTCTTTTTTGTTTGTTTGTTTTTTTTCAGAAATGATGAAAATTAGAATAAATCTAATTTTACAAAGATCTTTAACCCTGTTAAAATGTAAATATGTAGTACAACTATCTATAAGTACTATGATTGTATGCATGTTTTTGTTGCTTTACTTCATGAATAGACAGAGTCTGAACAGTCGGCAAGCAGTTATGGTACATATTTTATATCCTGAAATGTGGTGCTTATCATCTGGGTGTCCATGTACTTTATAGTCCTGGGTGGAGGTGGGGTGGGGGTGCTTGCCTGTAAACATTTGGCTCCTTGCCAGTTCAGTCAGACGCTCAGGCAATTTTTTTTTTTCTAAACAAAATCCTGGCCTCGTCATTCCTCCTCGTGGTGGGAGGAGTCAGGACTGGACTCCTCCTCCTCCTCCTCTACGGTTTCTGTCGGCAGCGTGTCACGGCGGGTGAAGGCGGCTGCCAACGTCACGCTCAGCCGCGGTTTGACGGACGCCATCTCCGACAACCCGATGTTGTTACCACGGGTTACGAGAGTGGTCTTATCCATTATCTCTCCGCTGTGCCTGGACACCACCGCATCGAGAAAGTCGTATTTGTGTGAAATCTTCCCACTCTCAAACAAGTACTTTGCCAGGTAGGAGAAAGCAAAGTTCCCACCGAAGGAGGCCAACATGGAGACTGTCTTAAAGGGGAACTTTTGTATGATGATCTCCTCCATTTCTCCTGTGATGTGGTGCTTTCGCTGTTCTGTTGTCCAACCGGGGTAATAAATAAAAGGAGGCAGCTGAAGGTAGGGTTCACCTCCACCTATACGCAGAACCAGGCCGAACATGTACGCAGCCACCGAACCATACGTGTTGGTGCCCTTGACGAAGAGCACGCTGAGCAGCTGGGGGAAGATGATGACGTAAACTAGATCTGAGCTCAAGTACCAGAGGCCGTAAACGGTGCCGGTAACCAGTGCCATCAGGGTGGCAAGACCGCCAAATACAAAGATTGTGATCCGCATCACCCACACAATTTCACGATCGGATGCCTGAGGAGACAGAGAGGAGGGGTAAAAATCAATAAGGACATGAGTAACACACCAGAACAAAAAAAAAAAAAAAAACTTTCAAAAGCTACAGGACTGTTTGGTGGAAGGACAGACGACACACGGGACAAAAGTGGACCAGTGGGATCTAAATGTTCTTTTGATGTGAAAAAGAAAGAAAAATATATATATACTCTTGCTCTCGCTCAAGGCGGACACATTCTCCTCTCCCTCCCCTGTTCTCCTCTTCTTCCTGCTTTTTGCTCTCTGTGTGTGTCTCTGAGATTCTGATACACATCTTCCGAATGGAAAAATACTATTATGGATCTTGTGAGCTGAGCTTTCAACGCAATCGACAAAATCTTTTCAACAAAACGACAGGGTCCTGGAGAGCCCTCATGTCCTGCAGAAACCCATGCTGTAGGCTACATCATAGATCCATGGGGAGTTTGGCAGCTGATGTGTCTTTCATTTCTGTCTCAAGAGGACACCGAAGACGTTTATATAATTGGATTCATGATATCAGGGTTTCTGCTTTTTGGCATAAGCAGGTCCTTATGTTATCGACTTTTGAAGAAGACATCGGCAGCAGTTTCAGCCATGACAAACTGCCAAGTCTGTGTGAAGGTTTGGTTCATGCTACGAGTACTCAAAATCAGCTGATTTACAAGCTAAACTGTAAGATGGCAGTGATTTGTGAGAATCACAGGCCACCTACAGCCTCTAGGACTCACCAGCATATTGGAGTTGACTTTGAAGAATGCTCATATCATGAATCAATGGAATACCCTTAAATCTAGCCATTTTGGATCTTGAAAGTACCAGCAGGACTCAACGCTGACAAGAAAAAACAGTCTGCCTGAAGAAAATCAACAATTGTTGCTTATCTGAGTCTGACTCCCCCGTTTGGCCTTGGATGTGGGTCGGCTATCAAATTTCTCCTAGGACATGGATACACTAAGGAAAAAGCTTAGTCTATCGCAACCCCCACCCCCGAGAACTTCTGTGCAGGCTTATCAGAACTGCCGGCTGAACAACAACATCTTATCAGGACTATGGCCTATCTGGAAGTGCTTCTACAAATCTCAACGTCTTGACGTCAAATGCACAAGTAATGTGTCTATAAATGTGTTTGCTGGTAGTTTTTTGATATCTCAAATTGTGTCCTGATAGGACAAGACGTGAAGAGATGTTTTGTTGGCATACCACTATCCATCCTCATGGCCTTTTACCTTTTTCTATCTAAAAAAGTATTCTGATAAAGAATAAGAGGCCGCGCTCTTGTAGCAGCAGCAGCGTGCACTCCGCCCATCTTTCAGACGACTGTACGAACATAATCTCACTGTATCCCCGTACAATGGTAACAAAGCTTATTCTGATTCTGACAATATAAATAAATAAATTCTATATAACATTTACTAAAAGTGACACATGTACTCACTGACTGTCTGAAGGCCAACTGGTAGATGTTTCTGGCAAACATGGAGCTCGCTGAAAGGATGGAGGAGTCTGCAGACGACATGACGGCTGCGGACACAGCCCCCAAACCAAAAAAAGAAACGAATGATGGACAAAGATGTTGGAGCACGATGGGGAGAATCATGTCTGCTTCGTCCTTTTCTTTAGGAGGAATTGAACCATAACTGGTCTGGTTCCAGTCTAAATGATGGGAGACCAAAAAAAAAATCAATCAATGTTTAAAATACTTTTGTTTCCAGGTTACTAAACAATGTTTAGTACTTACTTTTATTGATTATTTTCTTAATGCAATGTGTACAGAAGAGGAATAATTTATTTGTACACCTCATTAGAGAAAGAAAAACTCAGTTGGCAAAAGTTTAACAGGAAAAAAACTGAAAATCAACCACAGAAAAGGAGACATTTCTTTAGTCTCTCAGAGACATCTGCACATGTCCACAGGTTCCTTCTCCAGACTGCAGGTTTCAGCTCCTTCCACAGATGTTCGGCTAGATTCAGATCAGAAGGACACTTCAGAATAGTCCAATGCTTTGTTCACAGCCATTCTTGAGTTGGACGTAACCATTCCTCCTCTGTTACACTGTTGGCACCATGTTCTTTGTGTTTTATAATTTGGGTCTGTGAACACAGAGCTGATGGGACCAATTTTGTCTCATTTGTCAAAAAGACATTCTCCCAGAAGCGTTGTATTTTGTCACTATGCATTTTGGCAAATTCCAGTTTTTATCATTTGGATCCTCCTCCGTCATCGTCCTTTAAGTCCTCTTTATCTCAAACAGTGCTTGATGCTGCCATCTGACACTGATGAACCTTGGCCTTGAGGTTCACCTCTAATCTCTCCGAAGTTGTTCTGGACTCTTTGGTTATCGTTCACGTTATTTGACTTTTCCATTTCTCAACAATTTTCCTCTTGCAGACCCGTCCAGCAGATTGTCTTCGGAGCAGTGGACATTACATTTCTAAATAATCTGAGCAGCAGAAGTCACAGGAACATTAAACTGTTTGGAAATGATCTTAAAGTATCTTTATCAGGCTGTCACTTGTTATTCTAAGCTCTGGAGACAACTCTGTCTTTCACTTTCTGTGCTCCGTGTGGTTCACACCACGATGCCAAACTGCACAGTGACTACTTTTCATCCTTTAAATAGTCACCCTGACTGATTACAACACTGAAGACGCCGGTGAAGCTGATTACAGAACACACCTGAGTTTCATTTGTACTCATGGTCGGATTAGTTCAATCTTCTGTTTTTCAAGGTCAGTTCAGTTAGTTTATTTTCAAAAGAACGGAATTAAACCAAAACTCAAAAAGCAATGGCAAGGATTTTCATTAGTTGATTATCAGCATTTCTTCCCTATTATCTTTGTCACTTTCAAGTTAAATCAATGCTCTGTTGTTTTATTTTTTTTACAAAATAGTATTTATCAGTGTCTGTAAACCTAAACTTCAGCAGCAACATGCACACATTCGAGTGTGCAATACAGCTGCACTTGAACATTAACATGTCGTTTTATCTTTGTTTCTAACAAAGTACAGATTAACTCATCAGCAAGCTTAAATTGGCAAACTTCTGACAAATTATCTCATATTATATCTGCAGATCAGACTACTAATTTGGTCCCTTGCCTTCTTCTGATGTAATATTTACAAGCCAATGTGGTTATTAAGCTGATTGCTGCTTCATTATGGATGAGGTGAACCAGCTGCTATTTGCCAGGCTCTCTCAGATCTACGGGCAACAAGGACCCATCCAGAGCCTTCCCCCCAAACAAACACACAGAATGTTTGCTCACATGTCTCCTACCTGTGGAGGCCCCGATGGCCCCAATGAGAACGGATGGCACGGCCATGACGAGGCACCCAAACGCAGCCAGGAAGGAGAGCACCTGTGCATAGGTGGCAGAGGAGGCTGAAAGCACCCTTTGGAAATACACTTGCCAGGGAATTCCTCCCAGCATCTGTAGAAAAAAATAAAACACTTATTAAAACTAATATGTATCACATCATGCCAGTTTTATTTTTAAAGCAAAGAAAGTCACAGTTACAGAAGGTGAAATAAATCAGGAAAGTCTTAAGTCAGTTGTATCCAGTACATATTATACTTTGCCTCCAGATTCATCTATTTAAATAATCAAGATCAGTACTTCTCCAGTCTTTCTGAAGAGTTTTTCAAAGTTTTTCACGACCCAACTGGAAGAAGCCGGTAAAGATAATGGATGGATGGTTATTTTTAACCTTTTTTGTTTAACTACACATTGCATAATGTGCTGTCCTGCAAGAACTTATATATATATA